GGAACTTTTACATAACTTATAAAAAATATGCAGCCAGAAGTTAGAAGTACTAGGTACACCAAAGAGGAAAGAAAGGTATCTTAATGTATTTCTGGAATCCATTTGGCTCCAAGAAAATGAATCTGTCATCAGCAGTGGGTCATAAATCAAATGTCATCATGTGAATCCAAGAATCGAGGCCAGTTTCAGTTATTTCTAAATAAATGTTTTCTTAATTGCCTGATACTGAGATATAATTTCCCAGTGGAATTAAACTAAGAACACATTAAACTCTGTTAAAGTTTAAAGTTTCTACAGAATATAAAAATTTACACAACTCTTATTTTGCATATTTGCCTCCCTCAACTGCCCCAAAAGAACAGAGTATTTTGAACTGAATAATTTGCCAAATATTACTAGGCTGGGTGCCAAGAAACTAGAGACAATTTCTAATAAAGCATATATCTTCCATGATAAATAAAATAATTATTTCATCACAAAGATCATAAATAGGCCTAGATACAAATATGGATGATTAAATTATTTGGTAGAAAGTCCTTCTGTTGCCCATAGTACAGCTGCTGCTTGAAATCTGGACTACTTCATAGCACAAGATTAATACCAAGAATACTTAGAGGAGTCTTAAAATTTTAAAGCAAAGTATAAAATTCAATTATATTAAAAAAATAAGTTCTCTTCTTCAAGAAATATTGCAATCAGGGTACGATATACCCTTCTCTGGTTTCTTACCCTTGCTCCAAAAATGCAACTTGGATACTTTATTTGGAAAACTTAAAAAATATATTTTAATGTAATAGTTAAAGAGTTATGCCTAAATATAAAAGCCCAAATGCACACAGAAAGCTTTTCAGTGAACAAAAGCAGTGTTCTGAATGTCCTTACTATAAGTTTTGTATTCCAGGTTCTCTTAAAGGGTAGGTGCCATTTAATAAGGCATTTTCAGAATCTCTGTGAAATATATTTAAGATTCCAAGGACCACATATTTATGTGTTCTTTAGCTAAACATGATAAATTTGATAAAAATATATTACTCTTTAATATAAAAATAACCTTCTCGCTTGGTAATTTCCTTCTAGGAATTTACCTCCAATTTCTCCTTCCTGAAAAAATAAAAAAATTCAGACAAAGAATTATATACACAAAAATCATTCAGTGCAAGTTATTTACTATAAGTCAACACTGGATGCTATCTAATGTTCAATAATAAGGGAATTATTAAGTAAAATAGGATTCATCTGTAAGGTAGAACACTGAAGATATTAAAAATGTTTTATCAAGTCCTGGCCAGTGTGGCTCAGTTGGTTGGGCACTGAAAGGTTGCCGGTTCCATTCCCCATTAGGGCACATATCCTGGTTGTGGGTTCATCCCTTAGTCAAGGTGTGTGGGAGGCAGCTGATTGATGATTCTCTCTCTCTCTTTCTCTCTCTCTCTTTTTCTCCTTTTCTCCCTAAAAAAAATCAATAAAAACATTTTAAAAAAATGTTTTATCAAGTTACATATAATGAGCAAAATGCTCAGGCTGTAAGTGGAAAAAGGTATACAATGTATATATATATGTGTACCTACCATGTGATCTCATCTATGGAAAAATGCATTAAAAAAGATGACTAGAGGGAAACGCACCATAATGTTGAGAATGACTTATTCCCACTGGTGAAGAAATTATACATGTACTTTTCTATGATCTATTCTTTATATTTTCTACATCAAGACTACATTTCTTTAATAGTCAGAAAACAAGAAAAAGTTTAAGGGTACAAGTGATTTTTCTGGAATTTTACTTAACAGACAAAAAAACTAGCCATATAATCAGATAAAAGGTAAAAGTTCTTTGCTAGTATAGTATTAATAAAATAAAACACTACTCAAGGACATATAGCACGACTGCCTAAAATAGTTTAACAGTCTAAATGCTATTATTCTTTTCCCATTATGCTAATTTTATAAAATTAGCCACTCTAATTCATAAATCACAAACAAATACTACAACGCTTTTATGAAGTACTGCATTATATTAGGAAGCCTTCCCTTTTGTTTGCAAATTTACACAGAAGTCCAACATGAGAATACTGCTTCAGATGATGATGTAATTATATTTCTTAATGTTAAGCTATTTAACTGATTAGACCAAAAGTAGACCAAGACTCTTTTGTCTACTGATCCCGCCCCCCCCAAAATGCCAACAGTCTTGGATCTCCCAAGCTCTGTAGAAAACATTATTTTTTAATGATACAGAACAAGAGGCAGAGAAGAGCCCATTCAAAATAAAAGGGTCCAATTGTTCATGACATTGATGTTTAAACTAAGCCCTAAAATCTGTCTTGGGTTCCAATTTTAGAAAAAAGACCTCTAAGTTTTAAAATACACAAACATACTGATGTTAAAGTATACTATATTGAAGAACCTTTATAAGCAATAAGTATAAGTTTATTTTGCTGATACTGTTCTTTATACATTATTTTCACTGTAATTACTGTACTGTGCTCAGCAATGAGAAGCTAAAATAATGTTCAATAAAACTTTAAAGTTTCCACTAGCCTTTTTATTTATATTTGAAGTAGCTATTGTAGTAGACATAAAAATACAGTAAATTAATGACGATAACAAAATACTTCTTTTTAAAAACTCTCATTAACAACAAATAGTATACTCTAAGAAAAATTGTTCTTACAACTGTATCTAGACAATTCTAAATGCAAATTACCATAAAACTTCACAGCAACTTTATAAAACTTGAGATCTACAGGAACCTTTCCTTAATTACCCTGCTATTTCACTCACCCCTCTCAACTTGAATATCTCCAATCACACCAAATCACCACAAACACACTCACCCTATGTTAAACGCACACTACTTCTTTTTGTATGTTAAGGACACCTTCTTTAGAAAAGCACAAAGGAGATGGGCCCTGTGGACTAGAAATTTAGCTCTTAACATAAATCATTTTACACACACATATACTACACACACAAATCAGGATCTGGGTGCTCTTTCACAATCTGACCTGTGCCTTCAATTACGAACTGATCTCACTCCATCTGATAGCCAAATCGTGGCACTACTTCACAGTGCCCCCTAGCTCTGCAAGATATATCAGGTTAAAACTGACATCTTTTGAACTGTCAAGCTCAACAGAATGTGTCAGTCACTATAAGCCCCACTTAAACAGATACTCTATTACCCAAATTTCATCTAATAAATAACAGCTCACAATTAAATCTTGCAACTAATACTGATAAGACCTGATGAGAAAAAAAAAAATGATATGAACTGACGGGTTTGGAATTTAGCCACATAACAATATATAGTTCAAAGTTCTGTAGCTTTTGTAACATGCAATTTGTTAGACTTTTAGACAGTTATGAAGCAAGGACTCATATAAAAAATACACTTTAAAAATGCCTTCTTTTAATGTAATTTAAAGGGGAAATGCCATATCATTAGACCATAGTTCTTTAGAAGAATGGAACCAATTTCTTCATTTAAAAAAATGCTGGATCAGATGAAGTAATTTCACTATTAGTCACAGTATTTATCATTACAAACTTAATCTGAATTGCTAACATTGAGAAATCTGTGAGAGGACAACCTGTAACCTTGGTACTGATGCTAAAAAATAAGTCATATTTGGGTTACTTCAAGATCAGTAAGGGAGGGTGAACAGTGAAGATGACGCAATGACATACACCCCTTCTTTTTGGCAATGGATCCCTTCACAAAAACAAAGAAAAAAACAAAGTTAAGCAAAACTTCTAAGAAAAACAGCTACGAAAATTACTCAAGCTGTCAACTGCCCTCCACCTTACACTGCCCTTCTGAAAAATGAAAAGGTCCTGTTATTCCACATTCAAACCCTAGTACACCCACACTAATATGGGGAAAAACGGAAAGGGGTGAAAACTGGGAGAAAAAAACAAACTGAAAAATGATGAAATAACAGAACCACTACCATGAGGCAAAGTGGAATGTGGAATACGTCGAAAACACCAGGTTTTTGTTTTTTCCCCCCTAAAGAATGGTTGTTTCTACCGTTTTTTTCTAAAGTATTTAATTTGCACATCTTAAAATAGAGACCCCGAGGAGAGCAGCTTGAGGCCGTGGAGGGAAGGGGGGCGGTTAGGTAAGAACAGGGACTTGTGGGGAAATGTGTGCGGTGCATTAGAATGTGCAATGGGGGGGGGGGGGGGGGCGGTGCGGAATCCGCCGGGAAGCAGCGGAGGCTTTGCGAGTGCAGAGCGGAGTCGGCGGCGGCGCGGGGAACGCGTGTGCACAGCACGGAGCACACCTGGCAGCGCGACCGCCCGGGGTGAGACAGGCCACGCCGCCCGCCGGGCAGACGCAGGGAGGACCGCTGTCACCAGCCCCATTGTCTGGAGTGTGGGAGCCAGCCGCCTGCCACCGAATCGGAGGCACTGTCGGGCAAAAGCAGGGAGAGATGACAGCGGCCGTCCGGGCATTCTCGGCCGCCGGGGTCCCTGCCTCGCGGGGCCGCGGGGGGCGCCGAGGTCACGGGGGCGCGCGATGCCCGTCTCCGGAGTCCGAGCGCGGGAGGGCGTCCCCTCCGCGGGGCCGGCGGCGTCCCGCACCGCGCAGCCCGGGAGCACCTCACTTCCCCTCCCACCCCACCCCCAGCCGAAAGCAGGGAAGACGCGGAACTTGGGCTCCCGAGCGGAGGCCACGGACCGGGTCACGCCAGGGTGGGAGGCGCTGGCCGAAATTCCGCGTGGCCGCCGGGGGTTGGCGTCGGGAAAGGCACAGCCCCGGCTGGTCGGGTTTCCAAGGGGACGACGACACTCGGTCCGAGTGGCCCGGCCGCGACCCCCTCGGCGCTCACCGACCCGCTGCACCTCCTGGGTCCTCAGTCCCGGGCCCTCTCGCCTCCGCTGGTGACCCGGCCTCCGGGGGTCTCCCCAGGCCCCGCTGCAGCCGCCCCGCTCGGGAAACAGCTCCTCTCCCCAGCCCTCGCCTCGGACGCCCCCGCCGAGCCCGGGCCGCACCTCCGTCTTGGTGATCCGGTGCCGCCCCAGCTTCACCACGGCGAAGTTGCCCTTGCCCAGCGTGCCCTCGATGTCGTAGAACCCCACCCGGACCGGCCCGCGCTGCAAGTGCCTCGGGCCATCCGCCATGACCATGCTGGGTCCCGCTGCCCGACACGGCGGACTGGAGCCTGGAGCGCGGGCTGGCGGGCGGCGCGGCTGAGCTCGGGCGACGGCCGCTCGGCTCGCTCCTCGCTCTGTCCCTTCAGCTCCGCTGGGCCCAGCCAGGCGCGCGCCGCTGCTGACGTGCGTCGACGTCAGGGGGCCGCGGCAGGGGGCGGGGGCGGGGCCGGCCGGGATTGGTCACCATGGCGACCGGAGCAGCGCCGACGTCGGCGGGCGGCGGGAGGGAAGGGGGGCAGACCCGCGGGGCCTGGACGGCACGTTCCTTCCGGGCGGCGGCGCTCTGAGCTCTCCCCGCCGCTCGGCGGCTGCCAGGGGCGGGCGTGCACCCCAGGACGCCCCGTTCCCCGGCGTCCCAGCCGTAGGCCGAGAGCGAGCCCTGGTGGGCGGAGTGGAGGAATGCAGCGGCCCGGCCCGGGCCTGCCGTTTGGTCTCCTTCCCCAGCGCCCGCGTTTTCCGCCCACCCCAGACCTTCCCGCCAAAACCTCTCCCTTATGGCTGCGGTGTGTCTTAATTTTGGCAGGGTCAGAGAACTGTGGCTGCCACGGGGAGGTAAAGTGCAGCATGGCTCACAGGCTCATTTCTTTGTATCCTTTTCTCGTTTTGTTTCTAGATACCGCCCCCCCCCCCCCCACACACACACATTTTGACGTCTCTGAGGAATCATTCTGACAGCAGCACGATCGCTTATAGATGAACAGAATGTTAGTGTTGAAGAGACCCTAATGCAGGGATCTGTAACCTCAACTGGGCTTCCGAGCCTCAGCACTGCCCCCGCCCCCCAATGTATGCACATTTTTTTCCTACTTGAGTTTGTCTCTGGGGAGTTGGGACTATAGTTTTTTATCAGATTCCCAAACGTGTTGCTGACCCCAAAAACGTTAAGAAATACATACTTAATCTGTTGCACTTTCTTTCCGGAAGGGGAATCAAGTTCCAAGGAATGAAGGTAGTTGCCAAGTCACTCAGGTTAATGCAAGAGTTAAGATTGCAAATCTAACCAGTCTTCCATATGCTGACCCAAGGAAACAGGTAGTGTTATTTTAACATTTTGAAATATATGTTATTGGTTTTTTTTTCAGAGAGGAAGAGAGAAGGATAGAGAGTTAGAAACATCGATGAGAGAGAAACATCAATCAGATGCCTCCTGCACACCCCCTACTGGGGGTGTGCCTGAAACCAAGGTACATGCCCTTGATAGGAATTGAACCGGGGACCCTTCAGTCCAGAGGCTGAAGCTCGATCCACTGAGCAAAACCGGTTAGGCCTATTTTAACATTTTGAAGTATATTACGTGCCTGCAGATCTTGGTTTCTAAATGCCGTTCTCCACCAAACATAATCGAACTCTGGAGAAGGCTGATTCCAGGGCAGAGAGAGGGAAAGTATTAAATGCCCTTGAAGGCTCTTGTGCAAGAAAGCAAGATTGTCAAAGAATGATGAAGACATGTTGAAAGGAAATAGGACATGAGGATGTAAAGTACAGCATAGGAAATACAGATAAGAGATATCCACACAGAGCTCAAAGGAGAGGCAATCAACTCAATCGAAAGTTTCACAGGAGAGTCTTCCAGAAGATGAAACTTGAGTGGAGTTGAGAAGGTGGAGTAAGGGTTAGCCAGGTGGAAAAGGATTTTATGATCACTTGAAAGAGAAGAAATAGCATGAACAATGGCTCTGAAGATATGAAGAGTCATGATGCACTCAGGTAACTACTATTAGCTGTGAATGTCGAGACTCAATAATACTGAGAGTGACCACAGGAAAACAGAAGATACATGGCACCATGTGCTGGAGGGCTTCTTCTCTCCTTCCAGCCAGGCTGTTGCTCCTAAGCCCTCCAAAGAGAAATTCTGAAGTTGCAGCTGGGTGGGAAGCTGCTGGAGTGATGGATTCCAACTGCACCAGTGGTGTGATGGGAGAGGTCAGAGAGAGAGAGATGTTGAAGATTGCTTCCAGGTTTCTGACAGGAGTGAACAGATGCAATCAATTACTGAGAGCTGACCATGTGCCATTCACTCTGCTGGTCACTAAACATACAAAGTGGATGAAATATGGACCTAGTCCTCAAAGAACATGTAATATATTTAATTCAGACATTTAGTTCTTATTCCTCGACTATATATAAAGGTACTGTAAAAGGCTATTAAGTAATTAGAAATCACTATATATTATGTCTGTGTGCTGGAGCAAAATGAGTTGCGCTGGGAGTAGAATTTCTGCATTGCCATTTACAAGCTCTGGATACATAATTCTGGAGATTGGCGGAGAGATCTAGGCTGAAAATTTAGAGATTGATAGTACCGATAAGTTGAGGTCAAAGATGTGAGTGGTACCACGCAGTGGGAATATCAACAGTGAAGAAGACATTTCAGCTATTTATTGCCTTCTGCCAGTCTAGGAGTCTGTTACTTACAGCTCAGGGGGACACACACCCAAATTCATAGGGGGGGGGGGCACTGGTGTTGAATTTTTGCCATTATGACTCAACTCTGAATGGAATAAATGTTATCTTCAATTTTGGAAAGTGTGTTATATCAGGAAAATTAGAACTTTATTAGTTACTGATTTACTAGTGGAACTGTTCCTTTTGGTTCTGTTGATATATTTTGGGAGCTGCGAGTATGTAAATTTCAGGTTTTTTATATAATTACTAGAGGCCCAGTGCACGAATTCGTGCATGGTTGGGGGGTCCCTCAACCTGGCCAGCAATTGGGGCCAATCAAGGTCATCTTGCCCAGTCCCGATCAGGGCGAGCTGGCCGGGGGAAGGGACCAAGGGAGGTTGGCCATCCAGGGGGAGGGAACGCGGGAGGTTGGCCAGCCGCGGGAAGTTAATTGTGGGTCAGTGCGCATCATAGTGATCGAACAAACAGTCAACCAGTTGACCGGTCGTAACAGTTGCTTTTATATATATAGATGTCCAATTTCGGTGACTATTAATTTTAACCTAGTTTTAGCAGATACTTTTAGATTGTTTAAGTGTTATACTTAAATTTCTTATATTTGTAACTACAAATATTATTTTGTCTTGTACATTTATTTTTGGTCTCCAAGACTAAGGAATATATGTATTTGCTTAGTTCACCAACCTAAAGGTAACAAAAACAAGCCAATTAAAAGAACTCCCTACTTTCCTCTATACACACCCCCTCTAACCCCCCAAACAAGTGAAGAAGACAGAATCCTACACTATTTGTTCAGCACTCACAGGAGTGAGTAACTAAAGAGAAGCATCCCCTCCCTGCCAAGGAAGAGAGGCCAGAGAAATAAAAGTAGAATGGAGAGAGAAAAAATACCTTTAAAATGTAGGGAGAAAAAAAATTTAAAGGAGGGAGTACTTTCAATCACTGAAAAGATGTCAAGCAAGCTAAAGATGACAAGAATTCATTGGATTTAGGCATGAAGAGATAATTAATGATCTTTGCAGAGGAGTTCAGAGTACTGAGGGTGGATGCCAAACTGGAGTGAGTGGGAAGAGGTAAAGAAAAGTAAGTGTAATGATCATATCAATAGGACCAGAAAAAGCATTCAACAAAATCCAACACCCATTTTTGATAAAAACTCTCAGGAAAGTAGGAATAGATGGAGCATATCTCAACATGATAAAGGCCCTATATGACAAACCTACAGCCAGCATCATACTCAACGGGCAAAAACCAAAACCATTTCCCCTAAGAACAGGAGCAAGACAGGGATGTCCTCTTTCACCACTCTTATTCAACATAGTACTGGAAGTCCTAGCCACAGCAATCAGACAAGAAGAAATAGAAGGCTTCCAAATTGCAAAGGAGGGAGTAAAACTCTCATTATTCACAGCTGACACGATGTTGTACATAGAAAACCCTAAAGACCCCATCAAAAAAAATTCTAGATTTAATAAATGAATTTGGCAATGTAACAGGATATAAAAATCAACATCCAAAAAATGATGGCTTTTTTTATAAACCAATAATGATACCAGAAAGACAAAGTAAACAAACAATCTCATTTACCATTGCAACAAAAAAAAAAATTAAGATATTTAGGAATAAACTTAACCAAGGAGATAAAACACCTGTACTCAGAAAACTATAGGACATTAAAAAAAAGAGATAGGAGATATACACAAGTGGAAGAATATACCATGTTCATGTAGAATCAACATTATTAAAATGTTCATACTACCCAAGGCAATCTACAGATTCAATGCAATCCCTATTAAAATACCAATGGCATATTTCACAGAGCTAGAACAAATACTCCAAAATTTATATGGAACCAAAAAAGACCCTAAATAGTTGCAGCAATCTTGAGAAAGAAGAACAAAGTTGGAAGGATCACAATACCAGATATCAAGTTATACTATAACGCCACCATAATCAAAACTGCCTGGTACTGGCACATGAACAGGCATATAGACTAATGGAACAGAACAGAGACCCCAGAAATCAACCCAAACCATTACACTGAATTAATATTTAACAATGGAGTCAAGACAGTCTCTTCAATAAATGGTGTTGGGAAAATTGGAAAGATACATGCAAAAAAATGAAACTAGATCACTAACTTACAATACACACATTGAATAAACTAAAAATGGGTAAAAGACTTAAATGTAAGTGTGAAACCATAAAAATCCTAGGAGAAACCAGAGGCAGCAACATCTCAGACATCTCTTGTAGCAAAATGTTTACAGATATATCTCATAAGGCAAAGGAAACTAAGGATAAAATAAACAAATGGAACTACATCAAAATATAAAGCTTCTACACAGCAAAAGAATTATCAACAAAATGAAAAGAGAGCCCACTGTATGAGAGAACATATTTGGCAATGATGTATCTGATAAAGGGTTAATATCCAAAATATATAAGGAGCTCATACAACTTAATAAAAGGAAGACAACAATCCAATTAAAAAACGGGCAAAGGACCTAAGAGACACTTCTCCAAAGAGGACATACAGACGGCTAAGAGACATGAAAAAATGCCCAAAGTCACCGATCATCAGAGAGATGCAAATTAAAACGACAATGAGGTACCATCTCATACCTGTCAAAATTGCTACCATCAGCAAATCAACAAGTGACAAGTGCTGGCGAGGATGTGAAGAAAAGGAAACCCTAGTACACTGCTGGTGGG